GCCGCCGGCGGCGGGAGCCATAGGTGTAGCAGCATTGGGCAGAAGCAGAGCCAGTGGCTCACGAGACATTCAGCAGCAAGAACTAAGAGCAGCTCAACAGTGGATTGTGGATTTCTTGAGGGACAGGAGGTGTTCGACTGGTAAGGACATCGCTGACAAGTTTGGTCTGTATCGAGTCAGATACCGAGACGACGGCTACATCGCCTGGATATGTAAACGGCATATGGTCACTAGAGCCCATGAAGTGATTCAAGTTCCACTCTGATGCTCTGGCTGCAAGAACAGAAGAGCAAGTAGTTGATTAGTCATAACCATTCCACTGAATTCTCTGTAAACCATACAATATGTTTTCATTGTTACCAAAAGATACATCATTCAGAGAATCCAAACAAGGGCGACCAAGAATTTCCACAAATCTCAATCATTGGATCAACATGGAAAAGAACATGGGTGGCTGCTTAGAATTTCAAGAAAGCTGAGTAATTGGATCCTTTTGCCTCCCTCCACATCCATGGGATCTTGAACTGGATGATGGATGACCCACAAGGCACAAAGTGGGAACAATAAGTGACAATCACACCACTTAATGATTGCACAAATAATTAAAACGCAGTGCTAAGCTCCACATATTTCAATATTGATGATGTTAAAGACAGCAACTACAAGAGACGCATATGATTAAAGGTAAAATAAGTTCATATATATATATATATACCAAAGTAGTTCTAGCATAAGCAGAGCTTGTAAAGACGTAAAATAGTAATGATTTCCCATCATCTACAAGCATCATCATCCAATAGATGGAAAGATTATGCGGCAGCAGCAGCATCATGTAGTACACAATAACATTACATCATTAGCATTAGTCTCTCCCCATTAAGAAGCCTAAAATGTCACCAGTGTGAGTAAGCTCAGAAGAAAGGCCTACTCCCGTAGAACACGCGGGACCCATTGCTGTTCGGTGTTTGCAGCTTCTGCTCGGAGCTCGAGTTCTCTGATTTTGTTGGGCTGTCAATGTCCAGAGGAAGCTTCATCTTGGCCAGTGACTCAGTAAACTGTTGCATGCTTTTCATATACATGTCTACTATCTCCTGCTGCACCACCTTCGGCTCAGGCTCAACGTTCACAGTCAGAATGGGTTTCATAATCTCCGAGGTCTCGCTCTCAGCTTCTGTGGACTTCTGTCCGGAGGTTGAATCAGACACATGTTCATGATTTGGCGTGTCTGAAGCAGCCGGGGCATCAGAAGTAGCCGAGTTAGCTGAGGTGTGAGGAGAATAAGCTCCATTGTCAGGTGAATCTTGCTTGGGAACAACACCATTGACAGAACAGGCAGCTGCAGCTGAAAAGCTTTCCGCAACAGTGACACCTGTCCCAGCACTTGCTTGATTCTCGGCATCAGAAGTGACCAAGCTGTCAGAGGTTTCTGAATCCATGCTGGAACAAGAGATCCCGAAATATTCAGAAACCATTATCTCGTTTTCATTGACAACGTTAGGATCTGGAAACTCGATCTTGTCCAGCTCCGAGGGAATTGGTTCAGACCCTTTTGGCTTCTTGGTAGTTTCATCAACAGCCACAGTTGCGGGCATAACAGGAATAGCCATTACGTCAGGGTAGGCTCCATTGTAGGAGAGAGACAGCTGAACAAAACCAGCTGGGGAATGGAACAAGTCAGTGGAAGAAAGAGAGAACTCTTTCTCTAACTTCCCATTGTTAAAGACCACTTCCGACAGAGGCACAAGAGCAAAGCCAAGCAACTGGTCCTCGAGATAGTTCCTCACCCTACTCATCATGTAAATCTCACATTTCAGGGAGGTGTCTAAAACTCGGACATTGAGCTGAAGAATGTCACCGAAAACAGGGTTCCTCCCACCGCCATTGATGATTTTGGTTGAGACAGCCTTTTCAGGATCGTTTGTAAGGCAAAGCTTTGCATAAACATCTTGCTTGTGGTATATACAGATGTTTTGTATGTCCCTTGCCTGATGGACATGAACCTCCAGAGAGCCTATACAATCTCGAGGGTCAATGCCCACAGGATCTTTTCCGTTGACTCCAATGCCATTGGATCTGAGACCAGAGCTCTGAATCTCGGAAATGAAGTTCTCATTCTCAGTCTCAGCAATCAGAGAGGGCATGAATGGTGAAACAACAGATTTCGGGGAGTCCATCGTGAAACCTAAGAAGCACAGCCAAGAAAATCGAGGTGCAGTAGCATCAGTACACACACAGACAAACTCATCTTTGTCCACCACATGCATAAATACCAATTCATAATCTCCATGATGGCATAATCTAATAAAGAAAAAGGCTAGCAGAAAAGACTTAACCATAAAGATACAAAGGAAAACCAGACAAAAATCACAAAACAAGCGAATTGCAGAGATCGAGCTATGAATTGGAAGTTTCAAGAACTACACTGCAAACGCAAAAGTACAGATCAGGAGGATGGCTAAGCGTAGTATAACCAGGATTAATGAAGGTGAAAGCAATTCTCATATACCCTATAAGACTTTTTCTATATCAGAAAAACACTCAGACTTATCAACAGGAAAAGGTCTCAGACAATAACCTGAAACTGCAATAGCACCACCAACCTAACCCAAGTACAGACTGATGTCAAAACCATAATCTTGAAGGAGTTCCTTTTCAGTTGAAACAAAATCTCCTCCTTGAAAAGACAGAAAGAGACTCTCCAACTCCTAATAAGCCACTCAAATCCCAGATGGCAACTCATCAACAAGAAGAACGGCATCAGTTACAAGCTTCTCAAACCCGGATCAAGAAGAACAACATCCATCAACCACAGTTCATTTCACAAGCTGATCTCACAAAAAGCCGACATCCAACAACAAAGAAATTTGACTCAGTCTAACTGGAGTCGTGCCCAAACATGAGTTTTTTCAGTTCAGTTCCAATCTGATTAGACGCAGCAAGTCAAACAATTCATGAACGTGTTCCAATAAAGCAAACGACTTTTCTTCTTCCTTGAGCACATCGGAAACAAGGAGAGCCAAAAAAGGGGGACCCAAATAACCAAAATTAAGTTTCCAGAATTTTTCTTGATCCAATAAATTCACAGCAGTATTTTCACGCAACACTATGAATGGAAGCAAAACAGAAAATCAAACATGAAAAGAAAACAGGGTAGTTCTCAAACACTTGCCTTAACCGAAAACCAAGCCCTTGTTCCCAGAATCTAGGGCTTCAAATCCAACCAAACCCAGATAGAGAACTCTGCTGAATTCTCTGACAGCAGCGACAAAACCCAACAAGACAACTTAACACACAAGCCAAATCCTCGTTGTCGTCGAAGAGGAAGAAGGAGGAGAGTGAACAAGAGCAAGCAGATACAAAAGCACGTGGGTGATTAAGTAACCGCAAGAAGATTTCAAAGGGAGGCGGTTCAGTGTAACTGTGCAACTGTGTGAAAAGGTTGGGGACTATCAGGAAATTTCGGGATCGGAGAAAATAGTGTCCAACGAGGGAAGAAAATAAGAGAGAGAGAGAGAGAGAGGGAGAGAGAATATGAAAGATGAAAGCTTCGTTCAATCACTTCAATGGCGGACCAGTAGAAGACGACATTTGTGCTGGTTGTAGGTGGGCCATACATACTTTCCACTGTCGGCCGTGGAAATTATGAAAGCTATCAGCTTTTTCTTCTTTAAACTAAAAAAATAAAGGCCCATTTTTTTTTTCTCTCGAGATAAGAAAACAACAGAACTTAACGCTACAGAGAAATCTAAAAAAGCTCAAGTTGTTTCGAGGAGGAAAAAAAAGCTGGGAGCTTTCGCTGGCAAGCGTTAATGGAGTCCTGTGGTTTTGTAAGTATGGCAGATTTTTTTTTTTTTTTTTTTTTTTTTAAAAAAAAGGCGGAGAGCGTTTCAAGTTGTCACTGTACCGTTCCCTAACGTTTATCTATTCCGAGCTAATGGGCTTTGGGGCCCACCAATCAAGTTTATCATATATTTATTTTTTGCCGGATATATTATTCATACATGTGACTCCACAGAATATTTACAATTATTATTATGATTATGATAATAATAATAATAATAACAATAAAGATTGGAAGAAGACTTTGAAAAATAAAAAAGTTAAAATAGATTTTTCATAAAAAAATGTTAAGGGTTAAAATCATACACAAGGAAAGTGTGGAACCCACAAGAAAAGCTATAAATTAAAAAGAGCCATAAAGGTGCAGACTTTGAACTTTCCCTTTAATACACTTGTGCTTGTATAATTTGAAATAAAATTTTTCTTTTCCTTTTCAGCAATATTTAATTGTATATTTTCTTTCCAAAATTACAAATTATAATTTCCGACATTATAACACATGAATGTCACAATCATCTTGATGCCCCATCATCCCCCTTTCAGTTTGCTTGCAATTTTAAATTTAGATTGATTAATATACTAATCAACTTCTTTCTATTTTAAAACCATGTAATTAATTACAATTCCAAAAATGAATTTAACGCCTAACTCTTAAGACATTTTGAAAAAAAAAAACGAAGCTATCACTTGAGGGTTATGCAATTCATTAATTTGTAGTTTATCAGTACGGTTTTTATATCTTTAAATGGGCTTAAATATGAGTCAGGCCCACAGGCCCAAAATGTAAGCCCATTTACCAGAACTTGAAACCGTCAGATCCCACGTTCTCAATCTCAAACCATGATGGTTTCTCTTGTTTTTGTCTTTTTTAAAAAATTCAAAAACAAATTTCAAATTCCCAACGGTCGAATCGACACTCTCCAACATCAAAAGCGCTCTCCCATCTCGCCTTTCTCCACAACGTTCAAATCTCTCTCTCTCTCTCTCTCTCTCTCTCTCTCTCTGAAAGCAATTCTCTCGATTTCTCTAATTCTTTGTACTCTCTCTCTGAAAACCATGAAATCTCCGGCGAAGATCAGCGAGAACAGGTTCCTCGGAAGCATTTCGAGTTCGTCGATCCGTAATTTGCTTCCCAAATCCATCTCTGCCAAGCCAAAATCAAACCCAAATCACGATTCTAAAACATTCAGATCCAACGACGAGAACGCAGTTCCTGTAGATCCAAACGTCCAGGCTGATCAACGCAACGCTACGCACTTCACAAAGCAATCATCGCCCAAATCCCCCTCCCCCATGAGTCCGATCCTCAAATCCCACGGTCAGCTTGAAATTCTAGCGAATCTGCAAGACCGTGTCCAGGTAAATCTCCAACTTTCTGGAAGAAATTGGTTTCAGCTCATAACTATCGATCTAGGAGTTCGGTAGAGTCTGTTTCTTGAACTTCAGAAGTTGTTTCACTGGAAAAGTGCTTGATCCAAACTATTGGAGACTATATTTATGTTAGATTCGAGTGCACAGAACCATGGATCCGATTGGCTTAAAATCGAAAACTTTCACAGGTCCAGAAAACGGCATCGGACACTTTCGTGGAAGAGAAGGAAGCTCTTGGGTCGCCATTGAAGGTGAAAATTTAGCTCTTTATAAGCTTTAGATGCCCTGTCTCTCTCGAGGGTACAAGGTGTTAGTCTCTAACTTTCGATTAAACAACGATAGGATGAAACAAGGACTGTGCTTTCCCCTCGAAGAACCAATTCAGTACCAAATGAAATTTCAGAGGAATGCGAGCCATTGGGGGATCAGATTCGTCAACTAAAGGTCTTTCTATAATCCAACATCTGCGACTTTCACTTGATACCTATTGTATGAGTTGTATTTCTCAGGCTGAGACATCAAGTTTGCTTTTTGGTTGGTCATAGGAGGAACTCATAAGAACCAAGTCTGATGGGTTCAAACCGGATGGCAGTAGAAATGGCTACTTCGCTCGTGATAGCTTGAGTCAGCTCAGAGTTAGTATTAACCAGTCTTTAGTCCTGTCGTGTGCAAACAAAGATGATGCAGAAGAACAAGAGATGAATTTGGGTGACAGTGATGTGCGGGATTTGAGTGAACATATTGAAAAGTTGCACAATTCTTGTGATGGGAACACCAGAGACTCCATTCAATCTTCCTTTGCAAGTGCTTCATGTGAAGCAGAGTCAATGAGTGACGATGAGATTTGCTCTGAAGATTTGGAGAAACCCAAGAATGGTGCTCTTGATGATGCTGAGTCAAGTGGCATTTCGATCAGTCTACCGCCACCGACCCGAGTTCTTGAAGAGCCAACTTTCTCAGAATCTCCGAAAATCAGAAACTGTCGCAAGAGCGTGGCTGCGTCAACGAAATTTCTGGCAAGTCATAAGAATGTGTCTGAAAGCTCCAACCTTGGAAATATGAAACAAGTGGAGCAGGTTGGTACTTCTATGAGCAAGAAGTTCCCGGGTCCTGCTGCGGAATCTTTAGCTGCCAGTCTCCAGAGAGGATTGCAGATAATAGACTATCATCAAAGGAGCTCGATGTCGAACAGATCTTCAGTTTCATTCTCGTTCGAGCACTTGACACTGAAACCTTGTCCAGAAGCTGACAACCTTAATGCTTCTGTTCAGATGTTGACAGAGAATAAACCGCCAGAAGGTGGATTATCTGAGCTTCTCTGCTCTTCCTGCAAACAGAACCTAGGCCAAGAGGTTGAAGTATGTATACATCTAGAGCCCGAGATATGAATACATTCAATAAATCTGTGTGACAAGTTTTCTTGAAGATTCACATAATATTCTCTTCTATTTCAGGGAGGAAATGATGCAACAGACGCTAACATGAGTGAGAAAGATCTCAAGAACGTGTGTAAGGAGCAAGCAACCAAAATTGAGCAGCTAACTCTTCTGGTAACAATTTTGTTCATTGATGAGAAAATCGAACCTCACAGCTTGAATTTCTGTTGCTGACCGCTTGTTCTAAATAATTCTACAGTTAGACCAATACAAGAAGGAAGAGGAGCCAAGAAAGGTGAGACACCGGTTTCTTGTGATTGACGAAAAGTAACAATAAAAGAGAGGATTTTTTGTTTTAACAATGTTTCTTGATCTTGCAGCTTATGAAATCATGTGATGGAGAGGATCAGACAGAGGTTGTGAAGGCAACATACTTTGATCTCAACGAAAAGGAAGCCCTTCTCAAAGAGATTGCTGAGCTAAAGAGCAAGCTGCAGCCCACAAAGTCCACCGAGAATCTGAGATCCTCGTTGCTGCTACGCTCCATTCAGATGCGCAAAAGCATGGACGCCACCTACAGTTCCAACAACGATGATGACCTCGAGAAAGAACGAGAAAGGTGGACGGAGATGGAAAGCGAGTGGATATCCTTAACAGATGATCTCAGACAGGACATCGACAACCACCGGAGACATGCAGAGGATCTCGAGATGGAGCTCAAACAAGAGAAGAGGTCCACTGAAGAGCTGAATGATGCGCTCAGTAGAGCGATGATTGGTCACAGCAGATTCATTGAGCAGTACACAGAGCTACAGGAGAAGTACAATGAACTGGCAGAAAAGCACCATGTCACAATGGCGGGAGTATCTGATATGAAGAAGGCAGCTGCAAGAGCAGCAGCCAAAGGTCGACATGGGAAGCGTTTTGCCAAAGCCTTTACAACCGAGCTCTCAGCCATAAGAGCAGAAAAAGAAAAGGAAAGGGAGATGTTGAAGAAGGAGAACAAGGGCCTCAAGGCTCAGCTCCGAGACACAGCTGAAGCTGTCCAAGCAGCTGGAGAAGTGCTTGTCAGGCTGAAAGAAGCTGAACAAGCTGTACAAGCATCCGAGGTAAATAATCTCTGAATAAGGGCAAGTAGATTCATAACTATGGTGATGATTATGACGTGCCCTGATGATGTTCTTTGATTCTGTTCAAACCCCATCTGTAGGAACGTTTCAGCGTCGTTGAAGAAGAAAACGGGAAGTTGAAGAAGCAGATAGAGAAGCTGAAGAGCAAACACAAGAGTGAAATGAACACCATGAAGCAATACCTAGCGGAAAGCAGGTTACCGGGTTCTGCACTGCAACCGTGGTACAAGGAAGAAGAACCTGAACCATTAGGACCTAACATGAGCACGACCACGGCCACAGCCATGGCCACGTCCACGACCAGGACCAGTGTCAGTTACGATGACTTCTACGAGGATGATCAAGCATGGAGAGCTGAATTTGGGCCGATATATCAAGACCATGATCATTACTGAGTTGATCAACATTAGTCATTACAAGTCACTGTCTTGTTTCAGACCCTTCTTGGGTCCTTCAACTTCTTCTATTATACTCTTGATTTCATTACTCTATTTGTTCCTTTTACCTCGTATTAGTTTTTGTCATGTTTTTTTTTTGTTTGCGCTTGTTCTGATGGATGTGCCATTGTTGTATGGTCAGTAGATGTGTTTTGTGTGCTTTAATTGAAAAGTTCTTTTTAAATCTTGGTCTCACACTTTTCAGAGAATGTAGGACTAAATGTTCTCCATCAAAAGATTAGGGTTAGAATTGTAAAAAACATAAAATACAAGTCGTAACTGTGAAATATTACCTGTTAATGGGCTCTCATCAAATGGATAAGTGTTAAGCATATATCTAGGCCCAATAATCGGCCCATTGTGCATAACCGAAACGATGTCGTTTTTAGCTGAAAACGACGTCGTCTGGAAAGTATCTGTGTAGATAGAACTAACCTGATTTCATATTTCCTTTTTTGAAATCTGCGGAGCTGTGAGACATCAGATTAGGTGGGCGGAAAGCACCTTCAGGGCTTCAGCTATGGCGGCCGAAGATTCTCCAAACGCCGGAAAAGTCAACATCGATGTCGATGTCGATGCTAATCTCGACTCCGATCCCAATCCTAACCCTAACGCTAATGATTCTTCAAAGGCACTGGCTATCCCCTCTCCTGCCGTCTGCCTCGTCCGCTTCGCCGGAGATGCCGCCGGTGGCGCCGTCATGGGCTCCATCTTCGGATACGGTGCTGCTATTCGCTTCTCTCCCTATCTGTAGTGTTATTTCTATTGAATTTTTTCTCGATTGTGAACGGAAATAACACCAGTAGTTGAATATATACGTGTACTTGATTTATTCTGTGTTTTTTAATTGGGGTCATTAGTGTTTGGGTTTTTGGACTTTTCAAGCTGGAAATTTATGTTTACTAGAGGGATAAAGTTTTGATTTTGGGTCATACTTGATTGGTTTGATCCTCGAGGTTTATGCAGTTGCAAAAAAAAAAATTATGCGTATATTTACCGAGGAAGAACAACCCTTCTCGCTTTTTCTCATTCCGCTCTTGAAAAAGCGTGGAAATCTGGTTACTTTCACTTTCTGTCTTGGCATTGTTAGGCAGAATTGTATTAGTTTCGCGGGTTGGAGAATCCATTGTGGTGTTGTGTTGTGTATGTGATTATTTTGGTCAGTGTTGAAGCTCCTATGATAGGTTTAGCCTCCGACTTTTGTGGGTTGAGGTGGTAGAACTGTTAATCGACATCTCACCACAGAGGTTTGGGTTCAGGTTCTGGATTGTTTAAGAAGAAAGGCTTAAGAGGATCGTTTGTGGATGCAGGCCAGTCTGCGAAGGTACAACCACAATAGTAGTATGATCGCCAATATACTGCGTGCATATGTGTTCCTTTTGTTCGGGACAACTGAATAGTTATGATTCATTTTGTTAGACATTTGCTGTTCTGTCCGGAGTACACAGTTTGGTTGTATGCCTTCTGAAGAAACTGCGGGGAAAAGACGATGGTGAGGCTCTGTCATTTTGCCAGCTGACCTCTCTCTTTTTTGTGTCATGTATATATATATATATATACATGCATAGTATCTGTACATTATGGATTTTGTTTCTAATTTCCAGTCACTTGTTCTTGATATGCAGCCATTAATGTCGGAGTTGCAGGGTGCTGCACAGGCCTTGCTCTCAGTTTCCCTGGTAAGAGACCATTATTGTGTTCACGTCCAGGAATATCTAGATTCTGCGAATAGACTCACACATTCACTTGATGATGGAATATACATACACACATCCTCCCGACATCATAAACAGATATTCTTGTCAGAGTTCTTCAAGAGTCAATCACTGGTTTGTTCATTTAAAGCTGCATTTACCTACTGGATTACTGGCATTGCTCCCGATCCCGGTTGTTTGGTTTCTCTGTTTCCTGGCATTGATGTGGCTCTGATTGTCCAGAAAACTAATGCCTTAGCTGAACCTTAGGTAATGTTTTCAATGGTGGCCGTCTATTGCAGGTGCTCCTCAGGCGCTGTTACAAAGCTGTCTGACTTTCGGGGCGTTCTCGTTCATATTGGAGGGGCTTAACAACAGGCAAACAGCTCTTGCTCACTCTGTCTCGTTAAGACACCGGACTGGGTCTGTCCAAGCTCCTCCTCCTCTGCTCTCTCTCGCTCTCCCGACCCCCGATGAACTCAAAGGAGCCTTCTCTTCTTTCTGCAAGTCCCTTTCAAAGCCCATGAAGCTCAAATTCCCTCCTGCCCCTTGATCTCTCCCTCTCTCTGGTCGCTGTAGATGTCGAATTTTTCTGTTTCGGTGTAACATTTGGAGAATCGTTGAAACAGTTGAATGCTTTCTTGGCAAGAGCCATCAAGAAAAAAAAGTGTTTTTTCAAGTATGTTTTTTTTTTTGTCATTTCTTCAAGGCTTTGCAGAGAGAGAGGGAATATGCTCTTTTATTTTGGAATATTTTTATTTATAATCAGAAAATATCCAGGAGATGATATCAGAGGAAGTTTCCTGAGATATTTCTGAAACCAGAAACAGTATGAAATCATTTCGTGAATGAGATACATCTCTCTTTCCCCATGCTTGTTGCTAATCGTATTTAACACCATTAATCGGATTACCATATATCAAAAAATACGATTATAATTTGGTTTAATCTCTTAATTATCCAATGAATCAGCATCTGCATGCCCATGACGTGTAAGGGGAAAGGGAACTCTCTCAGCCTATATAAAAACGCATCCATGCCGACGTAAAACAAATCCATTTTGCTGCAACATCCTCCATGGACGGATCTTCTTCCCAAATGGTCCACTCGCATTTCCCATATTAATCGTCTATATGATGATCTCTTCGTTTCGATTTTGTGATATGCACGTATGTATGTATAATGTATGTATGTATATGCATGCATGTATGTGTATGTACGTTTTCAGTTCTTGATATTGTTCTTCATGTTCTTGCAGTCTTGTGTTCTGAGACTGGACACCCAGAGTCGTGGATGGGACAAATCCATGCATAAGCTCTTCAAGGGCATTCGAGGTAGTTGGTTTGTTCATACACAATTATATAGTTGTCGGTCCACAAATATATATATATATATATATATATATATATATACTCGTTTTTTAAACTCACGAGTATACACGCATACGTATACGTACATGTACAATATGTTTTCAGATGTGACGTACACGATCGATGCAACGAGAGGGTTAGCGTACGTGTCGGGGAAAATCAGCCCAGAGATAATTCTGAGGATACGAAAAGCGAAGAAACACGCACAACTAATCCACATGGATTATGGTTATAACCCTAACCTGCCACCCACTAATCCCGATAATTTCCCGCCTGAAAACATACCCATTAGTTTTAATTCCCCTTATAATTACCCGGCCGAAGCTCCTAATCTTCCTCCGCCTCCGCCTCCGCCTCCGTCGCCGTATAATATGTATAACATCAACTACCGTTACAATCCGTACGAGCAGCAGCAGCAGCAGGCCGTGGCGTCTCCGTACAACTACTTCCAGCATCCGTACTACTACGGAGCGGCGGAGGTTCCGTACTCTCCGCCGCCGCAGATTCCGACAAGGGATACTGTCACCGGTGAACCTCAGTGTCTGATTCTCTGAACTTGTCTGTCGTTTTAATTAAGGTTGTGAATGTATTTATTCGTTGCATGTCTTTGTTGTTATTAATTAGAGGTTGGTGAAGTGATTTTTGTGGCTGCACCTTCTTCTTCCCCCCCCTCCTTTTAGTTTTTTTTGTTAATGTTATGTCAAGTTTTGTACTTGGCTCATGTCCATGCATTATTAATAAATCCATACTCTCTATAAAACAAATTCTTTATATATATAGAGAATAAATTACTATTGATTTTTTTGGCAGTTATGTTTCTTATAAATATTTTAAAATATATAATCTGCAAAGAATGATATTCTTTTATGCATCTTAAAGTTTTTTTATTATTATGAAATGAAATGAAATGACACTATATAAAAAATATACTTACTTTTTTGTTTTGGTTTTCAACCCATATCTTTTCCCAAATGTGATCATGTGTAACCATAATTACAGTCCGATCACATATTGGTCACAATAATTATAACGTTAAATTTATCGTGTTTTTAACCGATATGTGACTATAATTCTGATCACATTGGTTATAGGATTACAGTTTAATAATAGTATGTATTGAAGTCAAAATCGTAAAAGGAATATATTTTTGATACTATAGCATGAAATTAATTAATAAAAATGATTGATTATTAGTTGATATAATCGTGCGAGAGAGCCAATAGGAGTGAGTGGATGACAATATTGAAAGCAACCAAGTTGTTGTTTTCATCATTTGAACCTATACATATATATATATATATATATATATAACATTGCGTAGACTTTGACTTTTGGAGAGGAGACTTCATAAAATCAGAGCTACACAGAAAACACATGGTATCATCTCTACGCGTTGACTCAATATACAGCCAATTTCGACGAAACACACTAATCACCCTTCGCCAACCTTTATTATAAGGAATGCCATTAACAATTCCAAGGAAAACAATACTATATGTATATATATATATACACACACACACACACACGGAGAGGAGGAAATAATAATAATGATGGCGTGAACGTTACAATTTGACAAAGATATCAAGTTTAATATTGCAATGCCGGTCATGAGAGAATATTATAGAGCCGATGAAAAAAATAAAAGTGATTAAAAGTCAAAGAAATGATATTATAAAATCTCAATATGCATATATATATATATACACACATAAAAACCTCCTTTCATTACAAAAAAAAAAAACATGCATTGGCAGGTGGTGAAGATAATCGCTTTGATTATGCTTATGTTCTTGGCATCCTCATCAAGAACGTCATTGGCGAGGCTCCATGCATATCCCATGGTGACAAGTAACTTTCTTGCTCTTCATCTCTCTCACAACCCCCACACACATATTAACATATATATATATATAGCCAGGTGTGGGTGGTCTTGTTGTTGTGGAAGCACAAAGTGCTGTCCACACCCAGAGTTCGAACCCCCATCCTGGCAATCAAATATTATCAAAAAGAAAAAAACATAATACATATATATATATATATATATATATATATATATATTGTTAAACGTCTTTTTTTTTTTAAATATGTAATTAACTCATTTATGAAAAAACATAGTAGAAATTGAAGCAGAAAATCAACGCGTTTAGGTGGGACCAATAATTTATAGACCGATTTCATAAGTTGGAAATAACATAGTTTGTGGACATTTTTTCTTTCTCATTCTATCTTCTCTTTGCTTAAATCTCAACAATTGACTTGATTTAAAATGGAATATTGAGGACTCGATTCGAGTTTGATATTTTGTAAGTTTTTATATTTTATAATGATAAAATATCCAACTTTTATGCTAAATTTTAGTTTAAATTAGATTTTATCAGAATTCGATAATATTTTAAAATATTTATTTTATATCAATTTTTATTGGATTTAAATTATAAAAACAAAAATACCTAGTAAATTTTAAATAGCAATATATCAAAGAAAGAAAGATACGCGTGGGAGGTAGTTCTTCGCCACGTGGTAAAGGCCCACAGTCGCGTTAAAGATTTTAGCGTTTGTATTTGGAAATTCATGTAATATTTATTTGAACAATAATAAAATGCAAACATTTCAATCGAAGGGGATGTAGCTCAGATGGTAGAGAGAGCGCTCGCTTAGCATGCGAGAGGTTCGGGGATCGATACCCCGCATCTCCACTTTAGTTTTTTCTTTACATATAATAAAAAAATGATAACGCATTTACGTCGCTTTCTTTATCTTGCTAAATTTAAAAACAATTGTAGTAAATGCATTACGCAAAAAAAAAAAAATAAAAAATCCATTGAACTACCAAAAAATCAATCTCTAATTCTATATGTTTCACTTTCCCCACAACCTCCTTCATCTTCTCCACCACTTCCTTTGGATCAGCATACGATCCCACCAGATTCATCGCCCTGTACTCGATCCCTTTCCATTTCGCTATCAGCCTGAAATGCGGCCTCCTGAAACTGCTGCTCACTATCTCAAACACCACCGCCTTCGACGTGGCTGACACCACGTGCGTCAGCCCCGCCCCGTGCGCTCCCACGATCACCGACGCTTCCTGGATGGCTCTGACCTGCTCCCTCATCGTCATATGCCCGAACAACCCGTTCACCAGATTCATCCCGCACTTCAAACCCGTCGATCCTGATCCTGACCCGATCCAGCGTTGTATAGCCTCAAACACTTCTTCCTCGTTGCTCAGCCGTGATTCCACCTTGCCTCGGTGACGAGGGTGTGCCAGGTAATCTTCCCTTCGGACGAAGAGGATGCTGTGATGAGGCGGAGGCTGCGGTTTCTGTCTGTTGACTTGGAACTCGAAAGCTGATCTTATCATCTCCCCGAATTCTGACAGCCTCGCAGTCTTTGTGTCGTCCGGGTTTTGCCAGAGGTCGTGGGATGACACTCCCTCGCAGTTTATGTCTTCGTGTAAGCCCTTGAAAAGCGTGGTTTCGTATCCGAGAGGGGAGAGAATGACGTGGCGGAAGCAGACCGGGTTGGTGAAGTTCTTTGCGTACCTTATCCCCGAAAACAACGCCATCCACGTTTCTTCTAGCTGTGTCTGTAAAAAGTACATTCATCGTGGATATTAAAACAACGAAAGATCCGTTTCGGATGCATGATCTATACGGGTCCTAAAGATGGAGAACAGATCAGAGAGAGGGCGTTACTGAGCAGTGTCCGTCAAGGAAAACGACGTGGGGACGGGTAGGCAAGCCAGTGACCCGCGACGAAACATAAGCGCTGTACCAATCTGTCATGGTATGGAAAAGATTTGCATACTCGAAACGGGTAACAAGAAGGGTTGGTTCTTCCACCCACTGCCAAAGCAAAAACAAGATGCAGCCACATGTTCTCGTAACCATGATCAGTGAAAGCTCTGTTCTTCACAGTTATGGAAAGTTTCCATCCTGTGATACTTTGGATCAATCGGTTTTTTCTAAAAGGGCATATTGATTCATTCCAGTTCAGGTTTGAGATCAGTGATTCAGTGAAAACCTTTCCATAAATGCATCTTTGTCTAATCAAAATTCCTAACTCTGCATTGATTACCAAAGCAAGCATCAGAAGATCATCAGCTAATGGAATGTAGACGACGAACCTCTTCACAAGCGAAATCTTCGAGGTCAACTGCGCGAATCGAAGCCATCAAATCCCTCATGGTGTGCCTCTCGATGTCTCCTCCGGGGATGTATGCGTTCAGCATCTCGTCGTTCACCAGCCGCCGGGGATTTCCTCCGCCGCCGCCGTCGCGGCGACTCTTGAACCCTGGGCGTGACCGCTCCTCCGCCACCTCAAACGCACCTTCCTGGAACTGTGGCAGCTCCTCCTCTTCTCTTCTCCCCATCACCTCCTCCAGTCTCTCACCTCCCTTCGACATCACGATCCGATCGGGAACCATCCTCAGATTCCCTCCTTCGCATATCGAGCTCCGAAGCGTGGCGCTGTAGAAGCACCGGAACCAGCTTCTGTCGGAAACTCCACCAGAGATTCGCGGCCTAAGAAAATCGACTCGCCGGGTGAATCCGTTGCCGAAGTACCCTTCGCACGAGCCCACGCGAACGTCCCTCGGCGGCGGCGTCCATGGGAGGTAAGAAGGCAAGATCGGCCATGGCTTCTGGATCGATTGATTACTCGCCGTGACATGAAATCGCCCCACCGGAAAGTGAGACTGCGGCTCCGGCGACGACGACGAGTGGAACACGAAGTAGATGCAGAGGAAGAAGAAGTTCAGCACTAACATGTACAGAAAGATCTTCAGAAACTGTGAATTCCGCCGATTCATATCTCTATATCCCCTTTCCCTTGATTACAGTCAAGAATTTGAATCAGGAGAAGAATTTCCTCGCCCTTAGATTTCCATCGGATTCAAATTCATGGGAGACTCACCAGTTTCCGCATTAGCTGCTTGGGAACTGGGAATCTGCCGGAAACTCGCCAGGAAAATTCTTCAAACTGGGATCTGAACGATTTTCGAATAATTAAAGCAAGAGATCCCTTGAACTTCAATCAAAGACCTTGACCTCGGAAGAATCCCCTTTCTCCTCTTTTCCTCTTTTTTTTTTTTAAAAAAAAATCTTTCAATAAATCAACGAATCTGAAAAAAAAAAAAACGTTTTCGTAACAAAAATCAAATAAAAAATGGAATGATAATGTGATCTTCACGTGCTCATAAACATTACAACACACAAGAGTTTTGAACAGCATACATCATATGTTACAACAAATGAATGTCTGGAACGAATCCATGATACAAATTTACTTCTCTCCTACAAAGGGGACAAAACAGACAGAACCCACAAGACTCATCATCATTCACTGCCCAAGAATCTGATGCCTGTCGTGTGAAGAAAAAAGGGAAAAACTTTTCCGGGGTTGGAGCTGTAGACTCTGTTGAATCACGCGGCGATCAGAGGAGTAGAAGAGAGGCGAGAAGCATTGCAAGAACAGACAGGAGGAGAGACTGAACCACTCGGGTCTGTCCGCTTGGAGCTTGTGCGCCGGTGGTTGGGGTGGCCGGGCTGGAGGTTGGGGCTCTGGCTGTGACCGGAGGCAGCGGCGGCTCAGTGACGTCAGCATCAGTGAAAACCGGGTTCGGAGCCTCAGCTGGTGGCAAAGCCGTGGCGAGAGATACAAGAGCGCCGGCTTGTACTGGACTCGAGTAAGGTGGAGGCTCTTTAAGGCCCAAGCATCGGTTTTCTGCAAGCAAGAGAGGATCCATCAAATAAACAAACAAAGGTACATCTCAGTTGGGGCGGGCACTCTTACCCGAGACCCACGGGTTTTCGGGTATCTATCGATACCCAATTTCGGATCTTCGGAAAACAACGAGACCGACACCGCCTTCAACAAAACGAGAAACCCGAAAGACAGATTCGGATTGCAATATTTCTTGACGGATTATATCGCGGATACGTATTTAAAAAATTACGAAAATACCCCTGATTCTACATATCTACCTTCAGCCATTTTCGTTTAAAACGAACCTTATACCCCTATAGTCAACATAAGTCTAGAATATCGTAAATTTTTACGTATTTGGGTATCTCGGGTTTCGGTCTCGTCTCGCGGATACCCAGGTCGTGAGTATCCGAGTTTCACGAGACTGAGACTCAAACAATGCCTCCAGAAAACACACGAGACCAAAGATCGAGACAAAATACGCAAAAATCCGGATACCCGACCCACGTCCAGGGCGAGGAGTTTAGTAAAAAAACTTACTTTTGTATCTTGCAGCTGTAAGAGGGAACTCAGTGATGGTTCCATTGACACCAGCTCCACGAACATAGGAGTTGATCTCTACGGTCGCGTCAGAGAAAAAGTCGTACGGTTGAGACACAAACTCGTTCTGGAACAGTTCCACGTAAACCGGGAGCAGTGATTTCTGTAGCTTCGTCACAACATCGGTTTGGCCTGTCGTGAATGCTTCGCTGAGGGGAAAGACTGATTTTTTCCCAACAACAACTGAGTTGGCAAACTTCTTTATATCTCCGATGGCCAAGTCAAGAATATCCCGGATGGTTTCTTCGATCTTGTATACAGTCTCGTACTGGCTCTTCTGCTTGAAATCGATTAGGACGGAACTGTTGGTAGACTGGATCATAACCTTTTTCGTTGTCCTGTTGTTGAATCCTGCCTCTCCAAGCGTGTCGAGAACTGCTTTAACCACATCGAGTCCCTGTTTCTCTCTCAAGTATGCTGCATTCTGAAGGAAGGAAAGAAATACATGAAGAACGTCCTTTTTTTTTGTCCTAATCACAAGAAAAAGGCAGAGGAAAACAGCAAAGACACAAGAGAAAAGGGTTTAGTTTAATCAGGCCGAAAAACTCACCTCTACACTGAGCAAAACACCGGTGAGAGAACTCGAGTTCTTTGCCAGGCTGAGGAAATCAGACAAAGAAATCAGCTTTCCTGCGTTTTTCTCACTCGGGTTCCTAAACATGTTGTATATAGTGAAAGGGTTTGCAATGGCAGCTGTAGACAGGTGAGAATAGTTGAATTCAGTGGTCTTTCACGTAATACTTAAAACTGTTTCGAGACAGAAGCATAAAGCTGTAATAAACTTACGCGTCAAGGTCTGGATCTCGGGCCATGTCAGACTAAAGGTGTAAATTGCAGGAACAGGGCTAATCTCGGGGACAGTTGACGAGCGGTTGCTGAAAGGAGATCGAGCAATCATTGAGCTGTTGCCGAGATCGATTGAACTTAGACAAAACGGAACACTGTCCATTGACATTTGAACAGAACAATCGATGATATCAGCACCATCTTTGATCGCCTTGTCATAGGCCAAGTCTGTAGAACCGGGGTAGTCTCCACTCGCACCGTTCTTGGAGATAACCAGAAAATCCACTGAGATAAGAACATTGGATATAAAAAATCAATACGAATTCCACACCATTTTGATATATGCATAGGCAGCAGAACACATGCTAATTATTAGTCACAAACCTTGTTTTGTAGCATTTTTGCCGAGGTGAGAGAAGCATCCTGTAAGGACAAGAAAGATCTCAGTAACGAAAAATGGAAAACGGACCGATTGACGAGCAAATTACGTGTTATGTTGAAGTTATATATACATACCGATGGCCTCGGATGCTGTTATGGGAAAATCGGACAGCACACCATCAACCGAGAAATTTCCATTGTCCACGAAAGAGAGATACTCGGCAACTGGATCAAAGCTATAGTTGTATGCCATATCGAAGTCATTAGCAAAACCCGACGCATATATTTCCAATCCCGCTTTGTGAGCATCTTGAACTAAAGACGTAGGCTGGAGCAAGTACAAGTTGTTAACGGGCAATATGTAATTCTTGGGAACAAGAATTCCCGAGGCGAAAGTCTTGATAAATGTCAGGTTCCGAAGGAGAGAGCCATAGGTCTGGTTGGTTGAAGGCTCGACTTCATCTTGCCCGAGAAACCGGAACACAAACTTCGGGCCATTACGTCGGAAACTACCGGCAATGCTCCGCAAGAAACTCACTTCGGGAGAAGAGATGTAGTCGATAATGACATTTCGGGAAACCGAAAGCACAAAGCTTCTCATGCTCAGATTGTGTTGGCCATAAAATGCGTCATGCTGAAAAAAAAAATTGATAAGCAACAGAAAGCGTTAGGCAATAGACTAACAAAAGATTAAACCAAAAAAAAAAAACAAGACAATCGGAGAGACATAACAGTTACCTGAATATTTAACCAAAAAAGCGGAGGTTTCACCGTAGTAGCTATGTTTTCGACGGTCTGAATTGAGTATTTGTAGTCGAATGCCTCTGGCCGTGATAATATTCCCCGGATCACTGCAAAGGTGGAAAAGATTCAGCAGTGTCTTTCCTAAATGAAGATGATCCTATCTTTTTTCCTCCTCCAATTCTAATCAGATTATATTCATATTTGCATGGGATTAATGGACCGCCAAGAGAGCATAAAATGTGGCTAGAAAACATAAGATAAGCGATGAACAAGATTACAATCTAACAGTGCGGAAAAACGTGTTGGCCTGAGGTTTAACTTACAGGCAACTTTTGCAAGATCCTTCAAGGTGAAATCAATGGAAAACCAGCCTTGAGTAGGGACACCATTAACAAGGTAGGAATTCTGCTGTTTCGGGTATACATCGCCGATATTCGAAGCGTTCCCCAGATTTACATCAGGGAAGCAAATCCCGATTCCGTCCTTGGTTAGTTGCACATCACACCATAGAACAACATCAGTTACACTGACCTGCACGGCCAATCCGTAAGCATCGACACTCGAATCTGGCAAGACTCCGGAAAACCCGCCACGAGCAATGACAAGAGGTGCATCACCTGCACGAGGAAATCAAGAAGTGGTTTGACAAGGTGGTCTTAAGGGACACAAAATCCTGCAAACTGAGTTCTATAGTTGGGGTTATGACAGAACAAAACCATGTGGATTCTATAATTGGAAGCTCTCTACCATTTGGAGATGTTATGTCAAACCATATACATATGGAAAGCCATGTCCTTGAATGGAAAACATCGAACCAAGATCTAATTAAGGAAAGAACTCATAAAAGCCAGATGCATCTCTCATCCCAAAAAGTTCAAAACTAACCTTCTCACTAACAGATAAAAAGTAACTTTGATTTCTGTATATTGCATCCAAATACAAAATCGAAGAAAAACCCTTGAAACTCCAAGGTTATCCCGACTTCTACAAAACATCTACAGCTCTAAATCACAACTCCGGATTCAATTTTCCGGCGCTTCTTCATCTAATTTCTCGGAAATCAAACGAAAATAGTAACGAACAGCAAAATCCATGCACAGATACACAGATGCCGGAAGAGAGAGAGATGGGACTCACCAGCGAGTGTTTGCCATGGACTCCTAGATCTTTGAGCATCGACTTGAGCAGCTAGGAGCTGGATCAAAACAACACCACAGAGCAGGAGCGTGGAGGAGCGTGACCCACGCATTGCCGGAGAAATTCGCCGGAGCTTCTTCGGAAACTTTCCGGCGGCGACTTCACCTACTTCGTTCTTCTCGGAAACCGAGCGAGATTTTGATGCTTCTGCCTGAGAGAGAGAGGGATGAGACCTTTTCGTGCTGGCATTTTCTTTTGCTATATGCGTATTTATATAATTTATATATTTTTTTATAAAATGTTAACTTAGTTTTCCGTCTTTAATAAAAAATATTATTAATTGATGGAAACTCTGCTGAATTTTGTTTAATTTGATTAATTTATTTTGTTTGTTTTCATCAAATTACGCGTAATCACGTAGTTTTGGACCAGCGTCCGGCGACGAGCCGAGTTTGGTCGGCCGACTGACATTAGCCGATGTTTTCTTTGTTCCTCGGACTCTTTCAACGCACGTTGACCGTCATTTTCAATTTTTTTTTTCGATAATATGCATATTTATATTTACTCAAAATAAATTGAAATTAATATTAGTAATTACTATTCCATAACCAATTTATCCAGTCCAATATCCCAATTACAAATAACTTTTCATTTATCAATGAAACATTTCCACACTTAACTTTTGGTTGTAAATAAATAAACATCAAATGTTATAGATTGCAAATAGAATGCAAAATTACAAAGAATCTATTCAGTAATAATATCGTAAAATTTGCCATTATGATCCTTGATTATTACAAAAAAAAACTATTTAATTATTATTTTTATTAAAATGTTATTCTGGTGTTATTTTCTATCTATTATTTTTTTTTGTTAAAGTTCTATCTGTTGATTTAAATGTGCTCTTTCACATTATTTATTGCTCACCTTTCATACAAGATAAATGTATCATCATTTTTAGGGGACCATCTCTAATGGCCACAATAAATGGCCATACTTAAATAACGCTTTCAATATCACATGCACAAAAAAAATGACTATAATTTTTAAGTAAAATAGTCTGAGTAATAGTTTACAAAAATTGATAATTACAATCTTTATGATATAAATATGCACTCGAAATCACTTGAACTAAACTTTTTTATTAAAGTGATTTAAAATCCTAACTATAGAAAATACTATTTTCGATCGCAATTAGAATGGTATTTTTTATTATCAACTTGTAAAGACATTGATGGTGATATGATATTATTTCAGATGAATTAAATAAATTTTTGCTCAAAAAGGGAGTAAGCCATATCAGCTCCGCTCGGCTGGAGCCAAGCCGAATAGGTGGTGGGCGTTGTGATTGGTTGACAGCTTGGCAGGGCCCCACAACATGGTAGTCATGACTTATCTGTAATGTATACGTGGCGATATCTTATTGGTTGTCATGCATGAGCTCAGCAAAGACGCGCATAAAATCGGTCACGTTGTACGTGGGACCGTTGTTTGCTGGAGCACAACAAAAACCTCCACCTTAGAACTGATAATGGATGGATGTTCCACTTTTTATTCCGACGATAATTATTTAAAAAAAAATCATAATTAGGAAAGTAAATTATAACATATAATGCATGCATATATATATATATATATCGTTCCTTAATAATATTAAAAATAATACTTACCAAGAGATTTCACATTGAACCGAAATTAACCGGAATCATATCAGGGAACGGATTAAGCATTTGACCATTACCCATGATAATTAATTAGATTTTTATAGATGGATATTTGGATTAGTGAAAAACAAGCCCTGTTTAATTAATAAAGTATAATTGTACGTGACTCCGATTTTATTTAAAATGGGAATGAATTTATATTAATGAAAGTTGAATAAATATTGAATAAATAAAATAAATCATATTTAAAACTATTTTTTGAAAAAATAAAATAAAATGATAACAACGTTACAGACAATACGACAAATACATGGACCGACCATCGTGTGAGATACGTTCGGATACAATGATCTTTGCTGAACATTATGCATAAACGCTTATGATTGACTTTTAAATATATTGTTTTTATGGTCAACTAAAAAACACGAATCTTTTGGATTTTTTTTTTAGAAATGCCTAGTTTGGGAGGAAGTATGGTCCTAAATTTTAATTACGCTTCCAATTATTTTTGTCACTAAAAAACATTAGTCGCATTTTTTTTAATAATCTAAGGCTCTAATGAATCGATGATATAGCTGGCCATTTATATGATTTCGAAACATAAAATGATTTTCTTATACTAAATGATACGATCACAGTGAAGCATCTTTTCATTATATTACAATATATACAAATAATATATACTCTCTAAAACCACACACAATAAAAAATTTAAAAATGTCCCTAAATACCAATGCATAAAATCGGAAAGTAAGAGATTAAAAATGATTGGAAAGTTATATTATTTTTATTATTTATCCTCATAAATTTATTTCAACGAATCTTTATAAGTGTTATGAAAATAATTGCTAATTACATCACATATAGCTCTTTCGGTAATAAAGTTTGGTATTCTTCACTTTTTTTTTTTTGGGATGTTAGTTGTTAGTTATAATCAAATAAGCCAATTTTATAAACCGGAAAGTAGCTTTTTCCATTCGTGCAAATTAGATTTTTTTTTTTGGAAAAACAAAAAATAAAGTGAAAATATAATAGAAGAAAAAGAAAAGAAACGCAGTGTGGTTTTACAACATGGAAACCCTATCGTGCATGATATTTAGTAGACATGCAAATATGGGGCATATTCAACAAATTAAACAATTTTATTCTCTACACAAATTTTGTAATAATTTGAATAAAATTATTAAATTTACCCCTAATTATGTATTTCTCTAAATCCGCCATTGATGCCCACTTATTTTTTTTCCACATATTTATTTGATTAATATAACACTAACGTGATATAAATCACGTTAAAAATTGATATAATGAAATCTATGAATCGACACAAAAGTAAAAGTAAGAGATTAATTAGATTCATCATGAATCTTACCCCTAAAAATTAAATGAAAACGATAGATTAAAAAAATGTCTTACCGTTAATATATATACATATATATATATATATATATTACTAGATCATATTCGATTAAGATTATTATTCGGTTTTGTATATCTTGGAACACAAATTAATCATCTTAGTTTCTAAATAATGAGTTTCCATATATATATATATATATATATATATACACACACACACACAAGCAGATAAATTACTAGAACGAGCCGAGTTTTTTTTTCCACATATTTATTTGATTAATATAACACTAACGTGATATAAATCACGTTAAAAATTGATATAATGAAATCTATGAATCGACACAAAAGTAAAAGTAAGAGATTAATTAGATTCATCATGAATCTTACCCCTAAAAATTAAATGAAAACGATAGATTAAAAAAATGTCTTACCGTTAATATATATACATATATATATATATATATATTACTAGATCATATTCGATTAAGATTATTATTCGGTTTTGTATATCTTGGAACACAAATTAATCATCTTAGTTTCTAAATAATGAGTTTCCATATATATATATATATATATATATATACACACACACACACACAAGCAGATAAATTACTAGATCATATTTTATTGGGGTTTGTATTCCAAGACCCACAAATCAATCATCGTGGTTCATAAATAAATAAATAATCAGGTTCATTGGACGCTTTAAGGATGGGCTTCTTTTTGAGCCTAATAAAGTACATTTCTTTTATTGGGTCGAAGCTTGGCCCAATTCTCTAAAGATCCATATATATATATATATATATATATATGTGTGTGTGCCTGTGATCTTTTCCCTATGTTATACGAAATTTCCTGTATATAATATGCTTTTTGCCTCACTATAAGGCATTCAATAATTGGTTCACTTTACTAATATAAGATTTAATAATTGGTTTCACACGTGCTATGCACGTGTGTGGTGTATGTTACAAACGTCCGAATAAGTCGGTGGAGCTTGTGTGTGTCAATTGGGTGTGACGTGCCAAAGTAATTGATCAGAAAAAAAAAATTAAGAATCATATGTCATAATAGGGTGTCGATTTAGTTCTGAAATCCAAAGGTTGAAGTTTGATCCGAGTCCATCAAAAAAATATATATCAGATTTTAGGTCTAAAATTTTCATTATGAACAAAATTAGGTTTTTCATGGGGTTTTGGATTGATCCAAAAATCAATAATATTTTTTTAAAAAAACTAATAAAAAAACAAAAAAATTAAATTTACAAACAAATTGAGCGAATCAGTCCAATCCAGTCCGATCCGATTCACCCCGAATCTAAAATCTATAGAATCAGGTTTCATGTTTAGTTATATAAACCCGAAAAAAAATCGGATCGATCCAAACCTAAATCCGAAATCCTCAAACCGAACGTAAGCTCGGATCAGATGTGTCATGAGGTTCTCAATATATAATATGTATATGGCACTGCATTTATTTGTGGCAGTAAATGCAGAAAAAAGTGCAAATAATAATGGAAATGAATTTGACTGATAGGTGATCGGTTTAGGTATAAATTTAGAAGGGCATTTTATTGTTGTCCACGGTAATCTGCATTATTTTTGGTAATTACTAAAGAAGACGACAGGACTTTATTTATTTTCTAATGAATATTTACGGGAGAAAATATATAACACCATAATCACATGGTTATGGCATTTTTTGTATTTTTCATCTAAATATTAAAATGGATTTTTTTGTTTTTAATTATAGAGACATATAAGTCCAAATGCTGACAAATATGAGATATGATACAAAAGGGGGCATCATATCGATGTGGAGGCACCGCTCCTTCAACCTGTCGTGACTACAGAGAGAGTATCTTATGCTGTTCCGTACTCGCGCGCGTGACAAGTCCCTTAAATTAGCTTTCAATGCAAGTGTGGCTTCGTCGTAGCGGAAAAAAGAAAAGAAAAAAAAAAAACTCGTTTCCCCTCCCTCCCTCCCTCTATCGCCATTGTTTTGCTCCCATTCGAAGCTAAAAAACGATTCTTTCTCCCGCATCTCTTCGTCGCCTCTCTCTCTCTCTCCGTAGTGGGTACTTTCTCAACGGGGTTTTCTCTTTCACAGTGATTGACATTCATATATTGTATATTCATATATATATATATATATATATATATATATAGAAGCGTTAGTATTCAATGCGGAATCTCATATCCTGCCGTGAGAGGTGCGATTCTGTATATTGGGTTTTGGTCTATCTGTAACCATGGAGACTGTCAGTTTTCCAGTTTTGTTATGGTGTGATCCTTTTTTCTATATATAGGAGTCTCCTGGGTTTGTGAAATGCATTTCTGTTCTTATCTTGTTTTTTTTGTGCTCATCCATTTGCAGCAAGAATCGGACTACTGCGGCTACATCATTGATTATGGGTTCAGGGTTTTGATTGACGTGATCAGGGTTTTTATTCGATTCTTTGCTTTGGTGTTCCTCTGCCGTGATTGTCGAGACATTTCGTGTTCTTCCCCGTGAATGGCGAGCGGGGAAATGTCTGGTTTGGTGGGTGTTATCGTTTCGGATCCATGGCTACAGAGCCAGTTCACCCAAGTCGAGCTTCGGAGCCTGGATTCCAAGGTAAAAGCTCTCTTATCAATCATGTTTCCATGTCTCTGGAATCATGCCGCATTGTTGGATCTACTCTGAGTTAGAAAGTTACGGCATTGTAATTGATCATCAATTCTAAGCATTCGATCTATTTTGTTTGAAATGTGAAGTCTTTTGCTTCCTGGTGTATAGTTTGCATCGTTGAAGAATCATAGTGGTAAAATCAAAGTAGAGGATCTGCCTCCGGTATTCGCCAAACTGAAAGGGCTTAGTGCTACATTTAAGGAGGATGAAATAACAGGGATTTTGGGAGAATTGGGTTCTGAAATAAGCTGTGATGTTGGTTTCCAAGCGTTTCTCAAGGTCAGTTGGATCCACTGTGTTCATTGGTTAATCGCCTATATGATGAATCATGATGTAATGGCGGTTGAATTTTGATGTATAATGTGCAGATATACCTGAACTTGCAAGATAAAGCAGCCGAGAAATCAGGCAGTCACAAGAACTCATTGTCTCGTTTCTTAAAGCCAGCACAGCTACCCTTTTTCATACCATAAATCAATGGGAGAAGGGCTCGTTTGTTCACCACATCAACAGATATCTTAGGGATGACCCTTTCCTTTTCAGGATATTGAGGAGTTGCTAAGATTACCGCCGAGAAAGTGTTATTGAAGTGGATGAACTTCCATCTCAAAAAAGGTGGTTACAAGAAAACATTCTCAAACTTCTCTTCGGATTTGAAGGTATACAATTTCTCAAGTAGGATCAACTCATGACTGTCTTTTTCCTCCCTTCAAAACATTTCTAATCAGAGTATATTTTCAATATGTATCTATTTGTTTCCAACATGCTCAAGTGATTTCAACTCTTGAATTGGAAAATTGGATGCTAACTCATAAAAGGGTGATAGTTTTTTTTTGCTTGCTTATTCTTTATGGTTCTGGTGTGTGTAACAAAGCTGAATCAGCGAGGTTGAACAATTCATTTCTAATAAAATAATATCTTGCCCGTAAATCTGAAGGATGCAGAGGCTTATGCTTATCTCCTCAACGTTCTCACACCTGAACACTGCGATCCAGCTACACGAAATGCAAAGGATCCTCTTGAAAGGACTAATCTGGTCCTTGTTCATGCAGAGAGAATGAACTGCAAGGGGACTGGACTACCGAAGAGATTGTTGAAGGCTGTCCAAATTTGAATCTTGCTTTTGTAGCTCAAATATTTCACGTAAGGTCTGTCTCATGATACATTTCATCTTACAAAATTTTCATTGGAGATGTTTGTTCCTTGCACTATATGAAAATCATCGATTAAGGAACACCCATATTTTTCTTGGAAATTTCATCACTTTTGATTTTAGTTATCTTTCTCTACACAAGGGATATGGTTTCGCTCTCTGAACCATAAGCTTTGCCTTGTATCTGCTGCTGCAGGAATGGTCTTAGCACAGATAGTGGGGTGTCTTTTGCAGAGATGATGACTGAGGATGTACAGACTGGCAGAGACATGAGATGCTACCGGTTATGGATCAACGGTCTCGGGATTGGCAGTTATGCCAATAATGTGTTTGAAGATATAAGAAACGGGTCAGCTTTTATTTTCTCAACTAACAAAACGAGAAAATTTTAAAAAGCTTCTAAACATTCTTCAGTTTCAGGCTTCAGGCCGTGGTAGAAGTCTTATCTGCGGTCTGTTATGTTGTGGTCTGAAAATTACCAGAAATGTCATTGGCTGGGTTCTTTTATACTATTGTCATGCAGATGGATTCTTCTGGAGGTTCTTGACAAGGTCTCCCCTGGATCAGTTAACTGGAAACATGCTTCGAAACCGCCTATTAAGATTTAAGATGCCGTTTAGAAAAGTAGAGAATTGCAATCAAGTCGTGAAGATCGGGAGGCAGCTAAAATTCTCTTTGGTGAATGTAGCTGGAAATTACATAGTTCAAGGGAATAAGAAGCTCATACTTGGTGAATCGCTCTTTCCTGTTTCAATTTTCGAGCTTTTATGTCTGGAAATGCATTTCTTAGATATTCTGAAACACTGGATGTGTCTGTCTCAGCTTTCTTATGGCAGTTGATGAGATTCAGTATGATCCAGCTTCTCAAGAACTTGCGTTCTCGGACACGTGGGAAAGAGATGACGGATGCCGATATCCTCGGCTGGGCAAACAGGAAAGTGAGGATCATGGGGAGAAAATCACACATCAAAAGCTTCAAGGTTCTTCTACATTTATAACTTTTGACAATTGGCCCTTTTTCTATTTTTTTTAAAAACCCATCAGAACTTTCGTTTTGATCCAAAGTTTCCATGAAATCTCTTCAGGAAAAGGGTTTATCTAAAGGGTTGTTCTTCCTCGAGCTTCTTCTGTGGGCAGTGGAGCCAAGAGTTGTCAACTGGAATCTTGTCACTAACGGTGAAACTGGTACACGCTTTTCTTTATAAACCAATTCTTTCTTCCTTTTCTTGTTTCTGCTAAGAAAACGCATTTGCTTCTGTTCTTTGTTGCCATTACGCAGATGACGAGAAGAGGTTGAACGCTACATACATAATCATTGTAGCAAGAAAGCTCGGTTGTTCAATTTTCTTGTTGCCTGAGGACATTATGGAGGTAAATACACAAACAGACACACAAATTATGGAGGTAAATACACAAACCAAGAGGTTTCAGTCAAGTGTTTGGTCCAAAAAACCAGAGAAAAACATCGGGTCGGAACTCAAAAATTGAAACTTTTGACCTCGGATGAAGGGTCAGTGGGATTGGAGATGATGATAATGATGATATCTTTGTTTGTGGAAAACTGGATAGGTGAACCAGAAGATGATCTTGATTCTAACAGCGAGTATAATGTACTGGAGCCTTCAGCAACAATCTTCGGAAAGCTCTGATTCTTCATCCACTCATAGTTCCGCCGCCACGACATCCTCTCCATTGCCATCTGTCACGGCTGAGGAAGAAGTCTTCTCCTTAAGCTGCGAAATCTCGAGCTTGGCCATGGACGATGATGATGATGATGCCAACTATGCAGAGACAGCCTCCGTCGTTACAACAGTGTCGTCACAGCAGGAGACCGAGGAGGAGGAGGGAACTGTGGAGTAGACAAAGATGACAACCTCTGTAATTATTAGAGAGATGATCCGACATTTTTTTAAATTGTGAAGATGCTTTGTTACTTGTCCTTTTTTTTTTTTTTTTGGGAGAATAATAAATCCAAGAATATTAATATCACATAATATATTTAACAAAAACAGAAGATTTCACTGCAGTTGCTTTGTGTTTTCTTATCAATGAATATATATATATATAACTTGGATTGGTCCGTTACTTGAGAAAAAAAAACGCAAGAAGCATAATAAGAGGTTGGGAAGCCTGTACAAATATACACACACACGGTATATATGTACAGACGTAATGGCGACATGACGAAAGCTGATTGATACCTTTCAACTGTCGCTTCCCGTTTCCATAGAGAGCGGAGGTCCCTTCTTCTTCTTCTTCTTCTCCTCCAGAATTTGATCACGAGCGCTATTTTTCGAGTGTATAGCGTTGATTTCTTGATTTTTCTGGAGGAAATTTTTGGAAGTTTTTTTTTCGAGTAGGGTTTTCTTCGTCGAGTTTCCTTGAGCGTGGAGTAGTTCAATCTCTCGGGTTTTCGCCCTTCTCCATCTCCGGCTTATTTTCTGCGCTGTAAAGATAAACCCTAGTTCGAAATTCGAGAGTTCGAGATGCTTTAGGGTTTAGTACAATGATTTAATTTTGGTAGTTTTGGGATTTCCCTTATGCTCTGGAATTGAATCCGGATTGTCTGGTTCGGTTGTATAGCTGTCCGCCTTGGAAAAAAAAATCTCTCGAATTTTCTTTATGATTGGGTTGATATCTTGATTAGGTTTTGAGGGCTAAGGGAATTTGAAAAGATGGCGTACGTTGATGATGATGATGAGGAAGAGATTGTTCCTCAGACAGTATCGAATTACCATTTTGAAAATGATTACAAAGAACCCGTGTCTATTGCGGTTCTGCCTGTACAATGGAGCGATGAGGAGAGAGTAGATGGGTCTGCTGTGGATGTTTTCTTGCGGGGATTATCTGATAATGGGCTTCAGAGTCTGTATAAACCTGTTAAGGCGTGGCAATTCGATCTTTCGAACTTCAAGCCGGAGATTTCTGTTCTGACGAGGGACAATATTTGGATTAAGCTTCAGAAGCCGAGGAAAAGCTTCGAGGGTTTGATCAGAACCATCTTGATAACTTTGCATTCCCTTCATTTCATTAGGAGGAATCCCGAAGCTTCGGGGAAATCATTGTGGGAGCATTTGTTTAAAGCTTTTAGGTAATGCCTTTGTTTTGGATCTCTGTCAAGGTCTTGTTTTTTCCTTATCTCCGAACATTTGCTGTCGTTTTCATGGTTGCTCAGTGTTTTGATGCCATTTATAGGTCACACGATGAGAGACTGAGACCGTCTCAGAACGATTTGGTGGATCACATTGATCTAATCTCTGAAGCTATTAAAAGAGATGCTTCCCTGGTGAGGTCAAAGGTTAGTAGGACGAATTGCTTGGCTCTCAATCGGATATGTTATTTAGACGAGCCCATAGAATTTCATTTCATATAGGGGTTTTTGTGTCTGTTTCTTTATACCTTCTGATACTCATATCTGCTGTTCTTCTGTCAGTCTTAGGTTATTGGTAACATGAGTTGTTGTGGCATAGTGTGTCATCTTCCAGATTTTCTCCTGATTTGATAGCAGCATAACCCCCTTTTTTTTTCCTTCTCATGTGTCTAGTTCTTAAATGCATTTGTTGAGAAGAAGCCTGCCAAAAAGAGATTACCTGACGAGGTCCGTTTTTATTTGCTTAGTTCTCTTTTCTCATATATTTTGTTTTCTTCTTTGTTCTCTCTTTTTGTATGGTCTTATGTTATGCCTTATGTCATTTTATAGGACAATGCATGGGATATGGTGTCCAATTTCATAGTTGAAGATGACATGACTGAAGATGGAGATGAAGATGACATGGATGATGATGATGACGACTACTTTGAGTCTGTTTGTGCAATTTGTGACAACGGTGGCGAGCTTTTGTGGTATGTGTCCTTCCTCTCTTGGCACTGAATTTGTAATTATGTGATTTTCCCAGGAAGTTCGTAGCAGAATTAGTTAAAACACTATATACATTTTCGTTTTGGAATGAAGGTTTTACTGAAGTTATCTTCAATGTTCTGTTGTTAGCTCACTGAACCATATGCATAAGTTTCTTCTTTTGCCTTGTCCAGTTGTGAAGGAAGCTGCTTGAGATCATTCCATGCCACTGCTGAAGATGGTGAAGAGTCGATGTGTGAATCTCTTGGCTTAACCAAGAGGGAAGTGAAAGTATGCTATTCATATAAATTTCTTCCTGGTTTCAAGTATGCCACTGAGTGTTTTGAGTCGTCTTGTAACAATTTTCCATGGGGTTTGCTGTTTTTCGATGCTTGTGGAAGTCTTTCGCTGTCTTAAGCCTAGCAGAGAGTTAATTGTTTTCACCATTCTTTTTTCAGGAGATCCAGAACTTCTTTTGCAAGAACTGTGAGTATAAGATACATCAGTGTTTTATTTGCAGAAAGCTAGGCTCCTCTGATAAATCTACTGGTGCAGAGGTATGTGACCATTGATCTCTCTTGTTTACCTTATAGTTATACCGATGTTCTTTTCAGATAATTGTGCAGTTGATGAATGAGAATGACTAGAAGATTTTCTCTTTTTGATCTATGCTTAATGTATCAAATTGTTCCTAGGTTTTTCGATGTGTGTCAGCGACATGTGTATACTTTTACCATCCTCGTTGTGTCGCTAGACGTCTACATATAGGAAATCAAGCTGAGGCTGAAGCGCTAGAGAAAAGAATCGCTGCAGGAGAGTCATTTACCTGCCCATTGCACAAATGCTGTGTCTGTAAGCAGGGAGAGGTTAAGACCGACCCTAAATTGCAGTTTGCTGTCTGCCGGCGCTGTCCTAAATCATACCACAGAAAATGCTTGCCACGGTATTCCTTCAATTAATTGTAAATTTGTCACCCTATTACAATTGGTAGTTTGGAAGGAACTTGAATTTGACATGCCTTACTGGTTACAGGGAGATTGCGTTTGAGGATATTGAGGAGGAGGATATAGTTACGAGGGCTTGGGATGGTCTATTGCATAATCGTGTACTCATATATTGCACGTAAGGTTTTATATTCTGTAGGAAACAGAAACTATATTTATGTTGATATATACCTAAATGCTTTTGCGTTTTCCTCTTGTATAGAGCACATGAGATAGATGAAGACCTCGGCACACCAGTGAGGGATCATGTTAAATTTCCATTTACTGAAGAGAAGAAGAGTGTAGTAAAAGAACAGAGAAAGGTGTCGGAGTCGCATGTGGTAAGAGACAAAATCGGATCCAGGGTGAAGGATCATGTTCCAGCAAATGCTTCTCAGAGGAAAACTAATGCAAAACTACATAGAAATTTAATTCCCGCTTCAAGGGATGGTGCATCTACCAAGAAGCCAGAAGTAGTTTCTTCTGTTTCGGGCACCATGGGGAAAGGAAAGAAAGTTGATCCATACAAAAAGTCTTTGTTGCTTCAAAAGCGGCCCCGGAAGATGGAAGTGAAGGAGGTACATGAAGGTAGCCAAAAACAGGCTTCACTTGGCATGAAGTTGTTTAACTATATGCAGGACACTGAGGCGGAAAAGCCTATAAGAGTTGTTTCATCGGATAACAAGCACAATAAGCCTGTCTCAATTGGCCCCAAGGAGCCTGACAGCGAACTACTCACATTAGATGCTGACTCTGAAAGGAGGTAAGCTCATTCTGTTTGAGATTTTGATTTTGTTTTTGTACTTAAAATTTGGACAAGAATTCAACCTACAATGTGGAACCCAAAACCTCTCTTTTCGCTGTCATGTATTTGTTTTTTCCATTTTAGGATCCTTGCTCTAATGAAAGAAGCCTCTGAATCAATAACTTTGGAAGATATCGTAAAGAAGCGCAGAGTTCCGTCTACACACACAAGCTCTTTAAAGCATATTGTGGATAAAACAATTACTTTAGGAAAGGTCGAAGGCTCTGTTGAGGTGTAATAGAAAGCTGATCTCTATCTCTCTTCTTCGGCTAATCTCTATGACGCTTTGCTGATCATTTTTCATATCACGTGTGGACTGATTGCAGGCTGTTAAAGCAGCACTAGCAAAGCTTGTGGAAGGAAATAACATTGAGGATGCAAAAGCAGTGTGTGAGCCTGAGGTTCTGAACCAGATCTTTAAGTGGAAGGTTGCACATGCTTGGCTTTTTGGCTATGGCCCCAACTATTTTTTTGCGGCTTCTTTACTACTGTTTATGCGTTAGATATTAAAAATATCTATATACATACTCACAGTTTCCGTTTCCAATTGATTTTTTTTGGTAATTGTGATTATGTTGGTGTTTGCTCTAGGATAAGCTCAAAATTTATCTTGCACCTTTTCTTTATGGTCCACGGTATACATCTTTTGGTCGTCATTTCACTAAGGTGGACAAACTTCAAGAGGTGAGTTTATCCTTTCAGAAACAACAGTATATCTTTTTGTCCTCCATGTGTTGGCGCAAATGCCCATGTTTTTAGTGATAGTTATGTGGTTTTTGCCATATCCTGTTAGAAACAATAGGATTATGTTGGTTCACGGAAAATGAAATGTAGTCAATACCTAAGAAATATCTTTTTTTCATGAAGAAAATGATACCTGAAGAGTAGGTTCTTTATAACATTTTAATTGGTAGTTGAATAAAATTGACTAGTAATCTGTGTCTATGTCAGACAATACTCAGGCTGATATGATTCTTCTGCAATGCTTGTTAACTTACAAAATGTTAATCTGGTCTTGCAGATTGTTGATAGGCTACATTTGTATGCTCAAGACGGTGATATGGTGGGTTCTGTTTACTGAATTTATGAGCTATGTCGCATTTCTTTATCTGTGTTTTCTTTACATATTCTTGTCACACTTATGCTGAAAAGATGGTGATGTGAAGGTTGTCTCGTGATTTCGATTTGACTCGTGGGTATGTCAATGGGAAGTACTTACGTCCTTTCAGAAAGAATATAAATGTATGAAACGTAGGGTAATCATGGGAATGAACCGGACTTTGTACGATGATTTTGTTGAACATCATATTTGTAAGCAGTTCCAACACTGTAACTTGTAATATTTGCCTCTTAAAATACGAATGTTGGAAACCTTATAATTTACACATTCAGTTTGATTTTCTTGAAGTGCTTGAATTGTTAATTCTTTCAAGTTTAGTGTCCGAATTGTATTATTTCCCAAAAGCTTATTTTTGCTCTTTATGGCTGCCAATGTTATTTGTGTTATCCCTACCATGGTTCATGTTATTTTTTTTATGATGATGATGGGTTGCTTATTATCTCTTAAAACAGATTGTCGATTTCTGCTGTGGTGCTAATGACTTCAGCTGGTTGATGAAAGGGAAACTTGAAGAGACAGGAAAGAAGTGTTTGTACAAAAATTATGACCTTATACAAGCCAAGGTAAATGACTTGTGAACTTACTATCTTCATCACTGGCGCACAGAAATAACTTTTGCTAGATTGTTAATTTTCTTTTCCATCAATGGGTTTGTTTTGGGATTATTCATGAATTAACTTTACATTATGGTTTCAGAATTATTTCAATTTTGAGAAGAGAGATTGGATGACTGTAAGAAAAGAGGAGTTGCCACCAGGCTCAAGGCTGGTAAAATAAGAATTCCTCCATTAATCTGAGATTTTGTTTGAGCACTCAGTTGTAGACGTATATCTAATTTTTACTTTATGATAGATTATGGGGCTAAATCCTCCATTTGGAGTAAAAGCTGCATTGGCAAACAAGTTTATTAATAAGGCTCTTGAGTTTCAGCCAAAGCTTCTCATCCTTATCGTTCCGGTAGAGACTGACAGGTAGTGATTTTCATCTATTTTCTCTGCACTCTATATTTGTAGAAGCCTAGAAGCTCTCTCTCTCTTTCTCTCTGACGTTAATTTTTTTTTTCTCCACACCAGGTTAGACAAAAAGAAGTCACCTTATGTGCTTGTATGGGAGGATAAGCAGTTTCTATCTGGAAAGGTACATTTATAATATTGTCTATGTTCCCCTTTTGATTTTGTTCTCTAGTAAGCTGTCTGTTCCCTGAAGTTCATTAGGAATTTGTCTCTTGTTTATCTCTTTCAGTCGTTTTACCTGCCTGGATCTGTCGGTGACGAAGACAAACAGATGGACGACTGGAATCTTGTTTCACCTCCACTTTCTCTCTGGAGTCGTTCTGACTGGGTGGCCAAACACATGGAAATAGCTCAGAAGCATGGCCATCTATCTAATAATATGGGGAAGACAAAGTTTGAGAATGATGATCATGCAGCAAATGTGTCTACCTATCCTGTTGAAGATTCTGCTATTCTATGTGATGGCACTTCTGTGCCGGGGAATAATCCTCTCGACAGTTATGATGAGAACGCTGTGCTCGCAAACGATGATGTCTCTATGGAAATAGATGAACCAGAGGTACCTGACGAAGTTCTTCTTCCTGAGAAAGGTGGTGATGAAATTCTAATCTCCGAGAAAGGTGAAGAAACCCGAGGGGCGAAACCTTGTGGTAATCATCAGCCAAATTATTTGCCGAGGGAAAAGAAGGAAAAGGGAAAAATGAAAGGCAACAAATCCAGAAGAATGATGCATGAGAAGTCAATTGACTCTAGTAGCTTGTCGCGGAAGAGTAATAACAAGGAAGAGGAATCGGGGGAATCAAACAGGGAAGTTCAGAGCATTGGGGCAAAAATGCCTGAAAGGGCATCTGATTGGCGGACTTCTGTTAGATCATCTTCTGTGGATGATATATATGCTGAAAGATCCCATGATTCCATGGAAGCATCTAATGGTGGAACAAGGAGTAGATGTAACGTGGGAGGGAATGTTGGAGAAACAGATAGGGAAGGGAAGAGCATTAGAGGAATGTCTGAAAGGACATTGAATCGGCAGATATCTGCACGATTTACTCTTGGTGATAAACAAGGTGCATCACCCTCGTCTTCCAATGTGACAGCTCCGAGGTCCCATGATCCCTTGGAAGCATCTCATTGTGAAACAACTCGAGGAAGAAAGAGCATCGGAGAGAACGTCAGAGGATTAGATGGGGAAGCACAGAGCAGTAGAGGAATGACTGAAAAGACATGGAATAGGCAGATTTCTGCAAGATCTTCTAGAGATGATATGTACTCTGTACATCCATCATCCTCCAACGCAATTCAGAGAGCCTACGATCCCTTTGAAGCCTCGTATGGTGGAACCATGTCCGACTTACATGATGTTGTTGGCCAACGATTGGGTTATGGTGAAACTTATGGAGTCCCGGAGAAACGTCCATCCGAAGCATATATGGGGAATTTTCCTAACGAGATGACTGGTCGGATATCATACACTGAACCAGGAAGAGGAATTAATGCAAGGGAGCAAATCCGACGGTATGGGCAGCAAGCCCCTGATCTTACTGTCTCGAGAGATTATTTGCTAGGGCACAGTGGTCACTTGGACCCCATCTCAGTATCTGCTCCATATGGCAGTTTAGTATCTCTGCCCGAATTGCCATCGTACAGGATGAACAACCCACCAGTGATGCAACAATACCCGCTGCCACCTCGTATGGGTGATCTGAACTACCGGAGGACAAACCCTTTGCAACCTCAGCTGCCACCACCACCGCACCAGCTGGATGGTAATGCTATCTTCGATCCACGTGGTCCATTGCCAGGTCCACCTGGTGAACCCGGAGACTATCTTATTGATCCTATGGGTTTTGCAACTGGTCCTCACCTTCCCTATACCTTTGGACACTCTGCTGGTTGGATTAATGACTAGATTATATGAGCTCTTCTGGCTTTGTTCTAGTGACTTCAGAGAAGGCAGGTTATAAGTGGAAATTTGTTGTCCAATTCTGAACCTTTCCAGAGTGTCCTGCCTTGCTTGGTGGGCATTGCGCTTTCAGACATTCAAATGGGTTCTCAAATCACACGACCAAATGGGATTTGGCTGATAAAGTTGTCACCTTTGGCTTTTTTGTTGAATGCATTTGAATACAAAAAACCAGTTCCCCATGGATTATCTTGTTCTCTTTGTTATTGATTCCCTGCATATTTACCTTGATTTTGGAACTTGGTCAACTGTTCTTGGGTATGACTATAACAATCCTTATTTTGAGCTTAGCCACATCTCTCCAAGACTTGTGGAGCTACTCTCTGGCCCGGCCGCCGTTTGGACAGACCACACAGCCGGTGGTCCCAAGTGGGCCCCCTTTTCCGTCTCCTGGTTCCTCAAAGACACTAGGGTTGGTAATAAGTTTTGTCCTTTTTCTTATCCGTCCACGTTGTCTAAGCTGATTTGTCATTTGCTACTTTTACATAAGATAATATAAAATCCAAAGGATGCCAATCACAATGGTATTCTTTATTATTTTTTTGTTTTTAATATTCAACTCTTTTGGTGTTCGATCGTTTCATATTCAACGCAGGTCAGATCCGACAAAGATGGAAGTAGAGCTCAAGAACCTAACAAAGGTATGGACTTAAGCAATAATCTCCATGTCTTACTGTTATTACATAGCCTCAAGAATCCCAAGTGGTGTTCCTCGGCTTGTCTCTGTTCTTCCAGTCTGTTCTCTCTTCCTTGTTTTTCCTCTGTTTCTCTCCTCCGTTCACTTCTCAGGCTCCACAGCATTTTTCCTGTCTTGGCTTTCCAATTTCAAGCTCATTCTTTTCGCCTTCGATCAAGGACCCTTATGCCCACTTCCCCCAAATCTCTCCCGTTTCATCTGCCTCGCTTGCTTCCCAATCAAACCCCAACAGAACTCTGATTCTCACCAAACTAGACAACACCCATCTCCAACTGGGTCCTCAGATCAAATCAGTAAGTGGGTTTTCGCCATAAAGATTGCATTCCTATGCATATTGCTAAATCTTTATGCTTACAGAGAAGCTCTGCCTCGCATTGTGGTCTTGATTCTGTACTCACTCCATATTTACCTTGAGCTCGAGCTTCTCTTAGCTCTGGTCAAAGTTCTGGTGATTACCCTTCTCGGTTGCGAGATCGAATCGCAATCCAAGGAGCCCTACTTAGTCACATCTCTCCAAGACTTCAGGAGCCGCCGGTGGAACCTCATGGTCCCAGCCATACTCCGCCCGTCCGTACACCTCCCCGCCTGGCGAGCCGCCGAGCGATTCGTGGGTCCCACATGGGCTCCAATCCCGGGGATAGTGGCGGCGTTCGTCGTGTCCGGCGCCGTCCACGAGCTCATCTTCTTCTACATGACCCGTCTACGGCCGACGTGGTTCTTCGTTCTGCAAGGAGTTTGTACTGCGGCGGAGGTGGCAGCAAGGAGGAATGCGACGGCGGAGATGCGGCAGATGTGGAGGCCGAGCGCGGCGGCAAGGCGGTTGATGACGATGGGGCTCGTGGTTGTGACCAGCGGTTGGTTGTTTTTCCCGCAGCTGGTGAGGAGTGGCATGCTCGAGAGACTCGCCGACGAAAGCTTGTTCTTCATTGACTTCGTCAAACGGAAAATTTTTGTTTAATTCCTCGTGATGTAAGTGGACAAAAATAATCTATTATTATAGTTTGTTATTGTGATTATTACTTTGTGAAATTAATTAAGATAGATATCCACAATATTGTCTGAATTCTAGTCTAAAATATCTTATTATAAAAAAAAAGCTTATAAAATACCCATAAAAAATTACACTACTTTTTGAAACAGAAAATTTTTGTATGTAAGTTGTACTGAATAAATCTCATCTAAAGAAATTATATTTGACAATCTTGATAAGAATATTATCTATTTGATGTAAAAAAGAAAAAGAAAAAGAAAAAGAAAAAGATAGATACTGAAAATTATAAAAAAAAAGGGATAGTTTGGGGGAGCCTTGCATCGATGGTAAAGTAAAGCCCATTGGGCCGAAGCCTCCATCTGGGCCTTAAGTAATCCTCCTCATGACGTCATCAGGTTGATGAGTTTATAAGATTTTTGCACCATACATACATACATACATACATACATACATACATTCAGCTTGTATGCGTGGAACCATTTCATTCGAATGTTTGTTTAACATGATCATATTATATGATTTAATTCTCCGAAAATGCACACCCAAGATTTTTTTTTCCCTTTAACAAAAAAAAAAACATTATAAGGAAAACTTTGGGTATATCCATGCCTAATAAAAAAAAACATTTAAATGTGCCAAACGACGTCGTAGGAAATCACAGCTTAAGACTTTCGGACTGACCTAGAGTCTTTCTATGCTTCCGTCTCCTCGGCACCGCCCGAAGCCAAGGCACGTAATAAGAGGCGCGAGAGAGAGCCCATACAGGGAGAGAGAGGCTTCGTCGGCGAAATTGGTTTGTCTCCTGAAGAAGGTAGCTTCTTCAACCCAATGTTTACGCTTCAATATTTGACTGGATTCAGCTCGATTTCACCGGACCTGTTTTAAACTCGATTTAGGGTTTCTGGTTTAAACTCGATTTGGTTACGGTGCACCGTGTTTGTCAGTTCCTTGACTGCCTGAATAGGTCGCGTATTCCCTTGCTGGTAAAATTTCCAACTGGCTTTGTCTTAGTCTCTGTCCAGCTCTGAATTTGAATCGAGATATTGAAATTATATATATTTTCCCCTTGAATGGGACCTAAAAATGGATAAAGACGTAGTTGGCTTTCTTGTAATACATGATGCTATACGTGTTCTTCCGTGCTGCGCGCCTTGAATTGCATTTGGAATTATGCATTGTGATGCAGAACATCCATGGCGGGTTTTTTTTGTCTTTTAACTACGACCATGGGACTGCCACCGCCATTATTGGCCTTTACGACCCATGTCCCGCTCACACATTATTTTTACATATCGCGCCATCCTCTTTCGTGCTCGCATAAATACACACGCACACACATGCATTGTCTTCATATACGACTGGAACTTGAGTTATAAAGCTGAGACATTGTTTGTTTGGTTTGAACATCAGGGTGACACAATGGCTGTAATGTAACAGTTACTTTTGATGTTACCAATGTTTGTTTGGCTTAATTTTTGAAATTCTGACCTTTTGTTTTGGTTGTTTCCTTGTCTTTGCTTTTGCTCAGAGGTTGGTTTGAGTATCTGTGAACATTGTGTTATTGTGTATGGCCACTGAGACTTTTGTCAAACCAGTGATGGCAAATGGTCATGATGGGTATGATGATGATGACGATGATGAAATGCCTCTTGTTTTCAAGAGGAGTAATACCGTTGCCTCTAATTCGAGTCAATCAAACCCCAATTCTCGGAAGGGCAAGACAGTTTCTCCCCCCAAGGCATTACCGATGAGATCTCCGCAGGTGAGTCCCAATGGAATAACTTCATCTGTTAGAAATTCTACAATGAAGTCCCCTCCACCATCGTCTTCATCTTCGAAGGCTTCGCCAGTTAAGTCACCCATGCAGAATTATAAGTCTCCTACTGTCAATGATGGAAACAAGCCGCGTAAAGATCCTTCTGGCTTCAAAAGTGATAATGACGATTCTGAGGACGACACACCTTTGAGTGCCATACTTTCTGGAAATTCTAGCCGGTCAAATAAGGCGCCAACCTCTTCTCAGCAGATAACTCCACAGAAATCGAAGCAAAAAATCAGTGGCAACCCCGCTATGGATAGGTCAAATAAAAACATAAAAGATGAGTCAGATGATGAAGTTCCAATATCAGCAAGGATTCAGAAAAAGGCTGGTAATGAGACATCAGGTAGCAAGCCTGAGTATGAAGATGAAAAGAAACCTTTGGCTAGAAAATTCCAGTCAAATGGTTCTGTGATTAAGAATGAAGGGCAGAATTCAAAGTTGTCTGGGAAAAGACCTCTGGATAAATCCAACTCTGCAGATCAATCTTCCATCAAGAAGGCCAAGGTATCAACTTCATCTATCTCTGTGGCAGTGAAGCAAGAATATGTTAAAGCAGAAAAATCAGATGATAAGAGGAAGGTTCTGGTTTCACCTGGTCCAATGAAGGGAAAACAAAAGTCTATCAAAGAAGATGGATCTGACGATGACAATGTCCCAATTGCCAAGAAAATGAAGTTAAACTCCTCTAATATGAAAACATCATCTGCAAAACCTAAAGTTGCAAAACAGAATACTCCTTCATCATCTCTGAAACAGAATACTCCTTCATCAGCTGCAAAGGCAAGAGTGACAAAAGTAGTTTCATCTTCGCCAAAGAAAATGACTAAGAACAAGAAAGGGAAGATAGATTCTGAATACTCTAAGTCTTCAAAATCATTACCTTCCGGTGATGGGCAAAAGAAATGGACAACCTTGGTGCACAATGGTGTAATTTTTCCTCCTCCATATTCACCTCATGGAATTAAGATCTTGTACAAGGGGAAGCCAGTTGAACTAACACCTGAGCAAGAAGAGGTTGGTGGCTCCAATTCATGCCCTTGGTGACAGTGATGCACAATACTATGCCTTTCCTTAGTACCTTTTTTTTTTCATATCAATATCCAGTATCCTTTCTTATGATATTCTTTAGAGGGTTCAATTTTAGTGCCCTCACGCGTGCTGATGGTATGTCTCTCTATCTGTAGGTTGCAACAATGTTTGCAGTGATGACAGAGACAGACTACTATAATAAAACCCAGTTTAGGGAGAATTTCTGGAACGATTGGCAAAAATTGCTTGGCGAAAATCATGTGATACAAAAATTGGATGATTGTGACTTCACTCCTGTGTATGAGTGGCATCTGAAAGAGAAGGAGAAGAAGAAGCAAATGAGCACAGAAGTGAGTCAAAGAGAACATTTATTGGTTTCTTCACCCTTGGATAACTTTCTTTGCAATGTTGTCAATCTTGGTTCCTTTTGTCTCGTTGTTGAGGTGAATGTAGTCAAGGCATCAGTTCAGTGACTATCCAGATTGTTTCCTGAGACCTAGTTTTTGTTCTTTCTGTTACTTTTTCGAAGAGGGAACTGGTTTATTAGATTTAGTTGATGGTGTGCAGGAGAAAAAAGCTCTGAAAGAGGAGAAATTGAAGCAAGAGGAGAAGTATATGTGGGCTATTGTTGATGGTGTTAAAGAGAAGGTAAGTTTTCTCAAGAGTGTTGTGAATCGGTTTTCAACTTCCTGGATAACTTCCCAACTCAAGATGTGTGTGTGTTTCAGGTTGGGAATTTTAGAGTTGAACCTCCTGGGCTATTCAGAGGCCGAGGAGAACATCCCAAGGTTCTTGCTATACTTGTTTGTAAACAATCTTTTAAACAATGTTGCCTGCCTGACGTTGTAGCTGTGGATTCCTTGTATTTACGTCCATTTTGTAGTTTAAGTTATCTATTCTTTTTCGTGACACTGTATACTGTCTATTTTTTTCAGATGGGAAAATTGAAAAAGCGTATCTGTCCCTGTGACATCACCCTAAATATCGGGAAAGGTGCTCCTATTCCAGAGTGCCCCATCCCTGGTGAAAGGTCTTTTTCCCGTGGTTCTTTCTCCTCAAAATAGAAAATAGTGAAAAATGGTTTATTTGTATTGATCATGGTATATGTGATTTTGCAGTTGGAAAGAAGTAAAGCATGACAACACAGTCACTTGGCTAGCTTTCTGGAACGATCCGATTAATCCTAAAGAATTCAAGTACGTATTTTTGGCAGCTAGCAGTTCTCTGAAGGGGCAAAGTGACAAGGAGAAGTATGAGAAAGCAAGAAAGTTAAAGGTATAGTCAGGTTTCATTTTAATAAAACTTCTTGCACAAATTGTCTGGTTTTCCCATTTGGTTACGAATAGTCTGCGTTTTAACTGCAGGACCATATAGACAGCATCAGGGATACATACACCAAGAATTTTACTGCTAAGGATATTATGAAGAAGCAAATAGCTGTTGCTACCTATCTCATTGATAAATTGGCTCTTAGGGCTGGAAATGAGAAGGTAATCAAATGAGAATGTTTGCAAACCAAAAAACAGGGAAAGCTAATGAAAATCATTTATGAGGGAGAATTAATATTTCTTTCACTGTAGGATGATGATGAGGCGGATACGGTTGGTTGCTGTACGCTCAAAGTAGGAAATGTGGAGTGTATTCCTCCAAATAAGTTAAAGGTACTAATTCGGGGGTTTCAAAACTTGGCATATGGAAAATATACTTTGGATTTTGTAGGGTTCTTGTTTCTTAGTTGAATGGTTTAGTTCTCTTGCAGATTTCCCAGGATTCTTTTTCTTGTCTTTTTCAGGTGACGGTTAACTTTCCAGTATCACAGTTGTTCTGACTTATCTTTTCTTCTTCTGCCATTTTTATCCAGTTTGACTTCCTTGGTAAAGATTCAATCCAGTATGTGAATACGGTTGAGGTCGAGCCTCCTGTTTACAAGGCAATTGGACAGTTCCAGACTGGTCAGTTGTGAACTTTGTTTTAATACTTCAGTTAAAATCCTTTATCTGCAGTGGAATAAATAACACTTTTGGTTTTTTTTTTCTATGCAGGAAAGTCAAAAGCGGATGATCTCTTTGATCAATTGGACACAAGCAAACTGAATGCCCATCTTAAGGAGCTTATGCCTGGCCTCACTGCTAAAGTGTTCCGTACATATAATGCATCTATCACATTGGATGTAATGGTATGCTCTTAACCTTGGGCTTGTTGCGTGTTTTGTGTAGGATAGACTTCTTCCAAATTATGGAATGTCTTGCCATTCACGTAGTTTTAGGCTTTTAGCTTGAACCAGGAGTTGGGGGGAGGGGGGTATAATGGCTCTACTCAATGTAGTCCTAATTAATTATTATTAGATGTATGAACTTGGATCTCATATGTTAGTGACATATCTCGACATTTTTCTCCTACTTTGACATTTTCCTGTCACTCTGTTCTGTTTGGATGCTGTGACAGTTGAGTGAAGAAACCAGAGATGGTGATGTAGCCGAAAAAGTTGTAGTTTATCAGCAAGCAAACAAGCAGGTAACTTTGTTCATTTCCCGTTGGTTTCAAGTTTCCGATTACAAAATTTTTAATCGGGACCGTGACCATTTTATGATATTGACTATTTCTGTTGCAGGTTGCCATAATTTGTAATCATCAGCGAAGTGTTTCGAAATCACATGGTGCACAGATTGAGAAATTGGCTGGGAAAATAGAAGAACTTAGGGTAAGAGCGCTTTCATATCAACATATGTGAACTAATAATAACACACGCTTTCCGGGTTCATTTTGCTTTCTGGTTTTCACTCTGTGCAGGATCTGATAAAGGAACTGAGAACCGATCTTGGCAGGGCTAAGAAAGGAAAACCACCATTGGCAGGTTCCGATGGAAAGAAGAAGAGGAACTTAGCTCCAGAAGCGTAATTACACACACACATATATATAGATATAACCTTTCTTGAAGCAGATATACTATATATATGTATATATCCCTCTAAGTTTGGGTATGGTGAAATGGGCAGATTGGAGAGGAAGATAGCTCAGACGAACGGGAAGATAGAGAAGATGGAGAGGGACATGCAGACGAAGGAGGACATGAAAACAGTGGCACTGGGCACTTCTAAGATCAACTACATGGATCCAAGAATAAGCGTTGCATGGTGCAAACGCCATGACGTACCCATCGAAAAGGTTTCAATACAAAACAAAAACCCTTTTCGATTCGAATACAAAAGGAAACCTTATCTCGTTTTTGTTGGCAGATATTCAACAAGTCGCTTCTGGCAAAGTTCGCTTGGGCAATGGACGTGGAACCCGACTTCCGATTCTGATTCCGATTCCGATTCCGATTCCGACCCCTAAGAAGGAGACGAGATTGATCTTCCCTAATGTAAATTCTTTTGAGTTGGGCAAAATTCTGAAGCCAGATCCATGCCCTCTCTGCCCCGAAACAGTCTATGTTGAGTTTCTTTTTTTTTTTAATCTTTGGAACAGATTCGTAGAAGAAATCGTCGTTGTAACGTTTGTAAATACTATCAACACTTGCGTCCCATTTTGGATTAAATCCCTCAGAATCAATTTTCCCATTTGGATTTGGATCATGTCTTTTCTGATACGTATCTAATAGATGGTTCATTTCGTATGGAAAAAATGACAATTTTATTTTAAGCCAAAGCGGAGAAAAACAAAATGTTCTAATGCATTTTCACTGCCTATATATATATATAACAGTTATATCAAATTTCAAATTTCAGTAATTTTTTTATCTTATGTGCAATTGATTTTTATCAAATCATTCACGTCAAATAAAATCTAAATAAAAAATAAACAATATTTTTGTATGGTGAATTCATATTATTTTTGAAATTCGAAAAAATTAATATTACTATGACAGTTAATATATATATATATATATATATGCATTTTTTTTTTAACGGTCGGATGATAAATTGGTTCCGTCAATTGATAAGCAAATCAATCACGAGGCCTATTTTCCCCTCACGAAATTGGGCCGTTCACGATTGAAACTTTGAAGACGACGGACCTTCGTTCAACCTCGTCTTGAGATCTCTGATTCTTTTCTCTCGTTTTCATCCCCCGTAAATCTTTGCTGCTTTCAATCCGATTCTTCCG